GATAAGCAACATGACCAATCAAAAATTGAAAAAAAAAATCAATAAAAAACCTATAAAGATATTATTATTTTGATGTTTTCACTATTTGAAATTAAATTATTTGAGAATGATCAAAAACCGAATCAAATTTTATTTCATCTGTCGCAGTTTTGCTAGCTTAAAATTTTTTGGAAAAAAGTGAAATCCGTTTTGTTCAACACGTTCCCACTGTTTTTATATAATTGATTTTTTTATCTTAAATAAAACCTGAAAACAATTCAAAAAACCTAAACCAAACCGTTAAAAAGAGAAACTTGCGGACGGAATCATACTAATAAACAGAGGTAAAGGGGAGCGCCGTGCTACCTGTAAAATAGTACAAAAAAAATGCTGGTAGCTGTACAGTACAAAAAGTCAAAAAATAAACGGAAAATTTGCAAGTGTCAAAAAACATAAAACTTTTGAAAAAGAATACAGACAATTTGGAAAAAAAATGCACGCACATTATAATGAAGCAGCAAACAAAGCACAATATTTCTGAGCAGAAACTTTTTGAGCCAAAAAATTTTAAAAAAAACTAAAAATCTAATGAACACTCCCACACAAAAAAACTCTCCCGATAATCTAAAGACGCAACACGAGGCCACAAAGTTAATGTAATATACGCCGAAACCTATAAGTTGCGAAAAAAAACTGTATAACGAAATTTTTCTATCGTTGTCTTGGTTTTGTCTCAAATGAACTCCCCGCAAAAAAAATTAGCATCAAACAAGGTGGCAGCAAAACAAAGTTTCCTGAGCAGACATCAGATAAGCCGAGAAAAAGGTCATGAAAAAATCACACGAAAACAGGTTTCCAAGTCCCCCTCAAAACAATACATTTAACAAACATTTTCCTTGTAGAAAATCTTAACATGAGGCTGTAAAGCCGACAAAATACAAGACAAAATCGTTCAAGCTAAATAAGGTGAGAAAGAGAAAAAACGAATAAAAATAACGATATTGTGAAAATGGAGGTGGTTAACTTACAATCAACCATGGAAAATTTTGAATTGAATTTGCATTTTAAATGCACACCATATTATTTTATTAGCTGACAAAAATACCGTCTTTGAATCATCCTGGTAACATAGTTATGTACCGGAAAAAAGTCTAGAAACCGGTTGCAACTCGCTCGCTTGTCGCAAGGGTAAAATTGCTGCATTAACGACACAAATATACCAATAAAAACAACTCAAATGTAAGTTTTCGCAGTGAACAACATAATTCCAATTCACTTTCAGAAGTTATCAGTTTTTTGCATCAGTTTTTTTTGTGATTAGGAGACATTTGTGATGGAAGAAAATTGAGTTCGTTTAGAAACCTTCAATAAGCTTTCAAAAAACCTTAATTCTAAAAAACTGACCATAAAACATCAGTTTTTACCTTCACGAATATACGCACTCAGTGTGCCAGAGACAGTCAGAAATTTGAAATCAAAATGAACGAAGGAACTACCAGGAGTCGATGAGTGAGTTCTGTGAACAAGATTTATTCGGGAGAAAAAGTCTCGCAAGGGAAAACAGTTTTTAGTGCCTCTTTGATTCGATTTGTATTGTTTATGAAAACAAAACTGTAGGGGCATCTTTTTTGTTACTTTTTTTGCAATTTTGATAGTGAAAAGCAAACTAAATCTGCCATTTTCCAATGAAGAAAACATTTCCAAAGTTCTAAGTAGAAAGCCCAAACTATAAAATGAGTGTAAGCAAATTTTTAGGTTTTTCGAAAAATAAACTTCATGAAACAACTTTCATTTCCCTAATTCGCATTTATTATATTTCATTTGAAAGATAAATCCTGAACATGTACCAAAAGCAAGCAGCAGCTTTTTGAGGACAATTTACAGTTTCTAGACATCAACCAACAACCGAATGTATGAGCGGGAACCATTGCTCGAACAAAAATTTAGATTAACACCAAACAAATGATGAATTGGTTAATTACTGATCATGTTTTATTTCAAAGTATAAGCAACAACAGACAATCAGAATTTAAGCAACTCCAGTAAAAAGAAAACTTTTCATATCAATAAATTAATTGAAATAAAAACAAGTTTTGAAATAAAAAATCCTAAGTCAATAAGACATTTCACATTTTTATTCAAAAATGAAATTTTTTTATTCAAAAATGAAATAATTCAAATCGGAAATTATGGTTTTAGCTAATTATAAAAAAATTTATTTCAAACAAAATTAGGTTTTCTGTACTGCTTCGCTGTTTTGGACTGTTTTTACTGTTTTTCTACAAAACATGAATTATTAGCAAAAAGAACTAGGAAAACAATTTTTTGTTGAATATCAGTAAACGAAATAAATTTTGTGAATAAGAAAGCTTAACATATAAAAATTTACTCAACATTGAGCAGCAAGCTTTACCAGTTTGTTTTGTTTTTTGATTCGGACGAAAAAAATGTAATGCCCAAAACGCGAGCGAAACACACGCAGATATGTTTTTTTCTGACTAATCATCAGAAGCCAAATCTCGGAAAGTTTGAAGAAAACATTTTTTGCTTTCACTAGTTGAATGTCAGAAAAAAAATAGAAACAGACATTGTGAAAAAAACATAACCTACAAAAATAACTCGACAAAGAACTGGGAATTTTACTAGGTTGTTTTGTTTTTTGATACAGACAAAAAAATTGTAGCGCCTGAATTGCATGAGAAACACACGTAGTTGTTTATTTTTTGTAACGAGTCAAAAGAGGCCAAATCTTAAAAAAAGTTAAGAAAATATGATTGTTACCTAGTTCAAATTCTGAAACAGTCTTTATCTACTCCTATTTTTCTATTGCCCAATCAACGAGAAACTGAAAGGTAAGTGCTACTCTTAACCGCTTTGCAGTTTTGCTTTTAGAAAGAATAGTAACGCAAATTCTAGCAAACAAAATGATGAGTAAAAACATAAAACGTGAACTGAAATAAAAATAAATTTTGAAATCTTGAAGTTCTATTTGATAACAAATTTTCGTTTTTTCTTTCAAAAATTGACATTATATAACTCAAAAATTAAGGTTTTAGCTGATTAAAAAAAAAATTGTTTCCACAAAATAAATTTTCTTGTACGGTTTCACTGTTTTGGACTGTTTGTACAGCTTTTGTCCAGAAGTTTAAAGAGGACGAAGATAAGATCGTTAAGACAACTGGAAACCCGAATTTTATTGTAGCATATCAGAAAGAAAATTCGAATTGAACCCTGTTAATAAAAAACATACACTTCAAAAGCTTACGCAATAATAAGCTGAAAATTATATCATAGTGCTTTCCTTTTTCATTCAGACAAAAAAACTGTAGCACTCAAATTTCATGCGAAACAGTCGCAGTTGTACTTTTTTCTTACGAACCATGTGAGGCCAAACCTTGAAAAAAAAACTTCACAAACAGTTGTTTGCTTTGACTATTTCGTGTTCCCAAAACAGTTTTTATTGACTCCTGAAGTTTTTTCTGCACAATTTTCGAAAAAAAAAAATGAAAATTCAAACATTACTTTTAACCGGTTTGCAATTTTGTTCAAAAAGCCCACTTATTCTACTTTTACTGAGAATAGAAACTTGAACTTCAGCAAAAAGTTAAGTCATAACATCAAAACAGGAAGTGAAATGAAAATAGGTTTCAAAGTCTTTAAGTTCAAGTTTATAAACAAAATTCAATTTTTTAATCAAAATTTAGAAAAAAAATTGAACATAAAAGTTTTAGCTGATTACCAAAAACTGATTTCAAACAAAAATAGGTTTCAAAAGTTAACAAAAGTTTACTGGTAACTAACAAGTTTAGAGACAACTTATTTTACGAAAGTTATAGATAAATATCAAAAAAATTATTATTATTGGTTTCTTACTGATCACGACGTGATTCATATTATAACACACTGGCAGTTGAAAAACAACCAAAAATCTCGATATTTATTTGTTTGCATGAGTAGCATATGAGAAAACGGATATTTGCCAAAGAAACACTGGACAAACAAACAAAACTTTTCAAAACTAAGTGGTTGATTAGAATAAAACGAAAACTAAATTAATGAATAATTGTTTGAAACCAAAAAAAGCATGAGCTAACAAAACTTGTAACCGGATCTACTTGTTTGTGTGTTTGAATCATCAAAAAATGTTTTTGAATTAATTTCGAATATTGTAATAACCAAATTCTCTGGCAAAGGCGCACAGTTATTAGCAACTTTTTCTGAAACGACAAATAAAATCATGTCTCACAAGTTTCAAAAATATATATTTTACTGAGAACTTTTTAAATTTAGAACCATCTAAGTGACTCGGCTTTTTTCTAAAATCAAGTTAAAAAAATTAATTCTAAAAACAGTTGGACAAACAATGAAAACTGTTGCAAAATTTTATGAAGCCTAAGGCGTTCACTTCCTTATTTAACATGTGAATTGATTCATTTTGAAAAAATGATTCTACAATGCCCAAAGAGAACAAAAGAATGTTGAGTTGGAGCATCAAATGAATTGGCTTTTGCTTTTAGATAATAAAGTTTAACTTCCAAACTTGAATAAAATTCTAAAAGAAAATAAAAAAACAGCTAATGTTGTCCACCATTTGAAGTGGAGCTCAATAAAAAGGCATAGGTCAGAAGCTTATAATCTGAAAGGCCAAAAGAGCTATCATCTGACTACTTGCGAAGAAAAGCACACAACAAGTTTTCAATGCGTGAAAACTGACTTTGGTCACTTAACTTTGAAAACCTTTTAAAAAAGATGACGAAAACAAATCAATATTCCACCAGCAATTTTTTCCTGAGCCTTCAGCGCGTGATGCAAAAAATTATTTAGGAATGTTAGAAAATAATTTTTTCATCTCCGAGCTCAATGGGGCTATTATGTCCAATAATTCACTCAAAACCAAAGAAAAAGTAATTGTTTTTAAAAAAAAAACATTTCAACGTACATTTCAATTATACTCAATTCAACTATAATTCAATTACAGACATTTCGACTATAATTCTTTTAAGCTTTAGACAGAACTAAGTTTTAAGTTTTTGCAATTAAACAGAACTCGGCCGCACTTAATCATCACTGAAAACTCTCTTGTTACTGGGCTGAAATCGTAAATCAGATACTGTCTCAGCTACCATCCTGGTTGCGTAATCGATGAAACCTTGTTTTAATGATTGATTAATTGGAAATTGCAATATATCGTCTAGATTCTGGTTACATCACTGATGACTCAATTGATGACATCATAACTTCATCTTTCTCGTCGCGTGTTCTTGTTGCCACGTGATCAGAAGATGACTTCCGGGAGACTAGCTTGCTTGATATGGTGAACATGTAGCAGTTGTTGAGTTCGTGTATTGCACTGAGTGCTTTGTGGTGGAAGTAGATGTTGCCGTAGATGACATACATGTACTCAAAGGCTGCGAAGAGCGAATAGGCTAGAACAATTTAATATACTTCACATAAACATTCAATTGTCTACTAAGATACTATGAACGGTCTTCGAGAGAACTCATAACCGGTCAGTTGGACGGTCCCAGTGCCATCTTCTTTCTCAAGATGGAATCGGCTACTGCGAAATGGATGACATCCCCCACGGTTGGTCCTGCGGAATAAGGGCCTCATTACCTGTTTGCTACGATCAACATGTAGTTATTGTTCACAATAAATCTCGATGCCAGCAAGACATTTCTTTTGCACTAATATATCGCTCAGAAGCCTACTGCCAAAATTGTGATCAAGAATCAGAAAAATCTCCCTGATTAAGTCCAGCGTGATATCAACGTTTTTTACAGGACTGTGATAACTTTCCGTCTCATTTCCAAGCACCGAGATCGAACAACCGACCTTCAGTCTCACAGACAGAAATCTTAGCCACTTAATTGCTGGCCTCATTTTCCCTTCTCCCCACTACAAAAGCACCCCGACCTCACACAATTTTATGGTGTAACGAGTGATTTTACAAGGTTAACTATGAATACCAAATACGTTTGTCATGGCTTAATTAGTCCGCATGACAATTTTCATAACTACAGGGACAAAAATTTCTCTTAAAAAAACTTGGATGCGCGTAAAGGAAAAAGAGTCGATTGCTACTTTACTTACCACCTGATACACATGATATGAAGTGTAGATAGGAGAAGGACAGAGCCACGAACAGGAGGAGAGATCCAATGATGCAGATCTTCTTCAGCCTCTTATACGCTTTGGCTATCTAAACACAAAACACACAAATAATTTAAAAAAACAGACCCAAACTTCAAGGGCAAAACACTTCAATAATTTAGCGCAAAAACCTGCATTAATTTAGAAAACTTCAGAACAAAAAAAAACAAAATTGATTACTGATGATGCAAGTAAAAACAAATCAAAAAATAAATAAAATTTACGCGTTTATACGAAGATCGCAAAAGAGAACATCGGGAACCATGGAATTATTTAATATGATTGCTAGGCGCAAGAGTAAGCGCTGAAAACAAGGGCGCAGAACTGTTGCTTAACTACTGCATGAAGCAGCTCTCATACTGAATAATAGTCGCAAAATGGCTCAACTTACCAACATAACGGGACACATTAGGAGTTTATCTCGGTTCTCTGCACTAATTAAAATATGCCCGCTGAAACCGGGCACGGGAGTTTTGCTCGGTTCTCCGTATCAAAAATTGCCCCCTAGAACACGCTTTACTAAGTACTGTCAGAAGGGGGCCTTTCTGTTCTTAGCGAACCCTGGGAAATCCACAGTTACTGTTTTACGGACGAGACGAAAAAAATCAATGTACTGAAAATAAACGGCAATGAAGACGCGAATTTGGCTACCCCTCCTTTTGTATCTACAAACAACAAAAATACCACAAAACAATTTAAGACAAGGCGCCAAAAAATATTTTCTTGGAAAAAAAGCGAAGACAAAAACATAGCCAACTGACATTTGGAAAAAATAAGTGAACGCAAGGAAACAAAAAACTGACTTGTTTTTTTTTAAAAAACTTCAACTTTCAATTTCCAAGAAAAACATACTTAAAGAAAAAAATATAAGACTCTGTGAATTTCACGAACAATTCATGATTGGTGCTTTTTTGATAAACGTAACCCAATTTGAGAAAACTGGATCAAAAGGAAAAGTTTTTATTTCGCTGGGAAATCTGATTGTTATCATCCATTTTCGAAAATTGAAATCGATCACGTTTTTCGCAACCTTTACATTTTTATTATTCGATAGTGGAGTTTGCACTCCTTTTAACAAAACCAATGAAGTGAACTCAAAAAACAATTACCAACACCTATAAAAGAGTTCTTATTACGTTCAGTACTCCTTTAAAAAAATTCAAGAAAAAGTTTCCTAAAGTGCCTAATAGTACAGGAATAGTTTTTATTGAAATTCACTCTTAATTTTTCAAATAAGAGAGAAAAACAAAACGATTGAGCAATAATCAAGAAAAAAAATCAAGCCTTCTAATACCAGTCATTGCCTCTCATTTTTATTGAATAATTGGGAAGTTTTTGAATTTTTCGCAAAATCAAGAATTCATTCTACTCGCTAAGCAGGCCAATTGTTCGCATGTTTTATGCTCAGCACTACCAGTTATAATGATAAGGGGAAACAAAACGAGCTCGTTATATATCATTTTGGACATTTTTTTACGTTTTGCCCATGATGCAAATTTTTCATTTTGATAATTTTTGCATGCGCCATTGTGGCTAAATCCATGATTTTTTATAATCAAAATGAAGAAAAAAATGTATTCAGAATTATTAATTTGATTACCGTGCAAAACTTCAGTACATTATGATTCAGACGGAATCGCTTTTCAAACTGAAAATCAAATAGGATGGGGAGGGATGGCTTGCAGAACATAACCATCAACCGATCGATTTCATTGCGCGGTTAAGAATTTCTTACTTCTGGTGAGCGCTTGCCACACAATTTGAACTCTCTCAGTCTGCAGCCCTGATGTACAACTGCAGCCAATGCAAACCCCAGGAACATAGTACAGTGCACTTCTGAAACACTGTTGAAATTTTACATATCAGAACTTGAATCTTTAAATTCTTATTCAGTATGTATAGTTTTGGAAGCGCGTCCATAATTAAGGTCCAAAAATTGCTATTTTTGTTTCAGTGCATACAACCAGAAATTTCTTGGACGCTACAAAAAACATTTCGTTATGCTTTAAAGAATAACAAGACTGCTCGTATCCGACTATCTTTTATTTGGTCTCGAATGATTTTTGGTAACTTAAATAATGGCGAAGCTGAAAATCATTGGCTGATAATATCAAAAGTTAAGTGTTCAAATCAGCTGCCTCAATTCAATTTAAAACAATTTGTAGTGGGGGGGGGGGGTGATTCTCCAGGTCTAAAGCATAAACGAGCAGCAGTTTGGACAGAGCCGTGGCAGATTTTGGTCATATATTTTTTTTGTCCCATTCAACTTTTGAAATTTATTTTTGGTATTGACAATCACAAATTCATAGATTATAGAACTATAATAGTGGGAAAACCCGACTGGGACCCTGCAGATCAAGAGATCGATCCCCCAGGGGAGCTAATAAATTGTGAAATTGGTCTGTACAAAAACCACCCCACCCGAGCATGTAAATTACCATCCTTCCTCGAAATTCGAAATGAGCCAGCAAATTAATACTTTGGAAAAATGGCGCAAAGAGCTTGTCCCTATTTCAAACATCTGAAAATTTAATGAACTGCTAATATGCATGAAGCCTTATTTTAGAAGGTTTTCGGATAATTCACCATTTATTGCATTTGGCATGAAAGTTTCACTTCTGACAATTTGAAAAAGTAATAAAAGAAACCGACAAGATAACCTTATAATGTTAGCTGACAAGAAAATCAAACCGATAAGACTTCTTCTTCATCTTGATAAAAGCCGATGATTATGTCTTCAAAATTGAGGAGAACTTAGTGATCCACGCTCAAATGGGAAAAATGAGACGCAAATTAAACTTTTTTTTCTCAAATTGACTATTTTTAAAGACAGTTTTGTTGACGATCGTAGTGAAGGTAGCCCAAAACGAAAACATCAACCGAGAACAAGTGACCTCATATAACCTCAATAAAAGCAAAGTGAGCTCTTTTCAAATTATTGAAAACAAAATTCATGCAACGTGCAGCGTTTTCAGCGAACAGGTTAAATTGTTCATGGTGACATCTTCACTAAATTCTTCTGTTTCTTATAATTTCACGGTTTTGAAAACCAACAACATATACGGAAAACTAGCGCTTTTTCATGTAAGTCCTCATCATTTTGTTGAAATTCCGAGTGAAGGTGGCCCAAAGTTATCTTTGAAAACAATAATTACGAGGAAGGATTTGTGCATGCGACATCATAGAATACGAATATAAACCCAAATATGTCAAAACTGAATTGTCATCAAAATATTGCTTGTAAAGCGAATATTGTCGGCACATACACTGTGTTGCAGAAAGCGCAACGAGCGAAAAGATTGAAGCAGTGAGCTAGCATTTGGAGCTGTACTATGTTTTACGCATGTCTCTGGATTCCAGAACAGCATAAAAAAAAATTTTTAAAATAGCTTTTCGTGGATTCCAGTTTTATATAAAAAAATAACATTGTTGTGTAATCCAGTTATAACTCGAAGATACGCTTCCTTGCCTCGTAATGGCAATTCTTAAGAAAAAAACAACAAAATTGCGTTTCATTTTTTCCACTAGAGTAGATGTGCTATTCGAAAGGTTAACCACAGAGTTTCGTAGTTTCAATTTGCCCTTTTGCTGTTCCAAAACATTTCAAATACTCGCCTAGATTCTCGTCCGATGGGATCACGGAAACCATCAGAAGGAAGAAACACTCCAGGAAGTAGACCGTGTAAGTAATCGTAGACAGCGTCTGGGTGCTCTTCTGCTGTTTCGACACTGCAAATTTACCCACAATTTAGACTCTTCTTAATTTTTAAGCAACCACAAAAGATTGGCTATAGTTCAGTCGAACTGTTGAAGAATAGTTAAGTAAAAAGCCAGTTTTTTAAAGTATTTAATTTGAGGAAAGTTTTACCATTGGGTTCGTTGCAGCAACAAGTTATCACATCGTTGCAGCAACAAGTTATCACACTTCTTTGAACGATTTCCCAACTTTTAACTTGAAAAATTAATTTATGAACGCCGCAGTATTGTTGATTATTTAAACTCAAATTTTTTGCAGAAAAATCGAGTACGGAAAATCATCTAGGAGTCATATGAAACTGCAAATAGAGTTTCAAAAATACCATTCAAATAAAACAGCCAACAAACAGTTGGAAAAGAATCAATGAACACAAGTAGCACTTCACTTTTCCTGTTGGTTAATGGAGTTTGCTTTCCTTTCAATTTAACAAAGAAAATGAAGTGCACTTGCAACACTGAGTCGACGCCGATCTTCGCACCACTTGCTATGCAATACAGAATAGCCACTAAATCGAAACAAGACTGCTCGTATCAGGGCCAAGCCCTGAATGTTCCGACTGCCTTTTAAGGTTTATGAAGCAGCAGTAAAAGCATTAAAAAAATTAAATGAAATAAAATAGAATGAAAATTTTTTCCAAAATTTGAAATTTTTTGTGAAAATCATCCCCCCACACGCCATATAAAGTACAAAAAGAGAGATTTCGTTCCTTGTAACAAATCAATTATGGCAAATAAGCTTCGTTCAACCAATTTGGAACGATTTATAAGACGGGTTAAATCTCCGCTTACGCGTTAATAGCGCGTTAATTGTCCCAAATTGGTCAAAATGGCCATCTTTAAACCCTCATAATTCTACGAAAAATGATAACAGGTGAAATATCTTTTCAAATTTAAGCTCAGGACAACAATACCTTTTGAATGATATAAGAAAAATTCCGTCAAAAATGGCTAGTTAAAAAGTCGAATTTTGTCTGAAGAAAAAAAAAACCCACCCCGAGCACAAATATTCCGTTACTTTCGTATCGAAAGTCGGAACAAAAAGGAGAAAATCAGAAATGGCAAAATATATCAAAACAAAAAAAAATCAACAACTAACACCCAGACAATAGGTCAAAATAGAATCTGAAGAAAAATTACCAAGCTGTAAAAAAGTCTAAAATATCCTAGAAGGAACCCTTTAAGCCGAACAACTTCTATAAGAAATTTAAGAATTAATTAAAAGTTTTTATCCCCCATTCCCCTCAATACACACAAGCACACAAACTTTTTTCACTTATCTAACGACAAAATATGAGGCCGATAAGCCGATATAAAATAGGCCGAAACTTAAAAGCCCAAGAAAAAGAAAAAACAAAAAAATAAAATGTGAAAAAAGCCTAAAAAAAGTTGTTTAAAGCCCCATCCCCTTCAATACACACACACGCAGACAATTGATTTTTACTCATCAAACGACAAAATATGGAGCCAATAAGCAAATATATCATGGGTCGAAAACTATTAAAGCAAAAAGAAAAAAGGAAAAACAAACGAACAAATATATGAAATTTAAAAAAAGAAAAAAGTCTTAAAAACTGATAAAAAAATGTTAGAATCCCATCCACTTCATTAAACACATGTACACAGTTTTGTGGTGCGGACACAGTACGAGGCCAATAAGCCAAAATAATATAGGCTGAAACTTATTTAACCGAAAAAGAAAAGGAAACAATTTTTTTTTAATTGAAATGAAACAAGTTGGTAAAATTACAACCCACCTAAAATACAAATTTCGAATGAGACGGATAATCAAAAAGCTAGCATGCTCAAAATATGTTTGTTGCAGCTTCCAACAGAGAGTCGACTGTTGCGGTTCAGTTTGCAACGTGCTGAAAATGGAGATTTTGAAATTTGAGATCATCCAGTGGACAAAGTTGTTTACGGGAAAAAGATATCTACTACCAGATTTCAATACCCTTGCTTATCGTGAGGGTAAATAGATCAAAATTCAAACCGCGAAAAAATAAATTTGGGCGTGAAAAAAATAATCAAAAATTCATTGCCACCTATATAAGAGTCTGAAACTACGTTCATCGTCTCTAAAAAAAACTTGTTTCCCCTGATCGATTTATGACGGCAGGGATGCCTAAAATAATGATTTGGGATAAAATACAAACTGTTCATATTAATTTATATGTGAACTAAGAAAATAAGTAAAATAAACAGACACAAAACTCATGGGTCGTCGCAAAATTCAGAATTCGATCGGTACAATATTTTATACGTGACGGAGAAAAAGCATTTACCAGTTTTTTTGCATACTTTTTCAGTTCCTGAGCGCATCCCGCAGTTAATCCATCAATTTAGACCTGAATGTGAGCTTTTCAGGTCGATCACTAAACCACTCTTTTACGCACTCACATAGCCACTGCGAATACTGATGTTCAAATAACGTTGGTCAGGGCTGATTTCCAATTTTGCATAAAAGGTCATCATGAGTTCTGAACCCATACAAATATCTTCGAAGCCAATGAATAAAACCATTAAATTTTTTAGTTTTGTCTGGTGGGGGCTAAAGGTAAACAAGCGATTACAAAGCGATATCGGTTTTGATACTAGTTAGAGATACAAATTATTCGATAATTTGACACAGAGACGAAGCTGCGCTTCGCAAACACTAGCGAGAACACTACAAAAAGCAACTCAAGAGTGCAACAAAAAAGTAGAAATAAGCCTCTAATTAGTGAAAATGCGACTACGTTTCGGATTTGATCTGCGACCTAGAAATTATGAGTCTCACGTATTAATCACTCAGCCTCAGACGCTTAATAAATCACAAACACTAGCCAAAAAGGAAGCAGAGAACAGATGCTATGAAATTTCCAATGCTACAGATCGTCATTATAGCGAAAGTGTCACCAAATAAGTGAACACCTTCCACTTTCAATGAACATTTTTATTTGCAAGTTAGGTTAGAAAAAAGAACTCGCACGCCCGCAAGTGTAATAATTCAAAATTGTTATAATTTTTGGATAAACTATTTTGATTAGGATAAAAAATTCTTCTTAATCACATCAATAAATGGAATAAAAATAAGGAATAGCCTAGAAATCTGTAGAGACAGAATCCATGAAACATCCGCAGTGACACTGTGACCATGTTGAGAAGTTGCCAGATGAGTCCAATTGGGTAGACATTGTTAGCTGCACTGATGGTCCCGATGAAATTGTAAGTCTGAAAAATGCATGAATTAAAAAGACAAGAAGCAACATGAAATATAGTCAATAGTTCCAAACAACAAACGTCTCATCTTTTTGAAGCATTTTTAAATTGGTTGAGTTTATAAAATAAGTGTCAATCATGAGATTTCCTTGAAATTCACACAGCTTTGGGGGCAAATTTTTGAAAGTTGAAGTTTTTTCAAAACACAGATTTCAAATTTCAAGGACACGTATGATTGTCACTTTAGGTATTTTTTTTCTGCGGGGAAATCTAAAAAATTAAATCCACTTTCAAAATCGATCACATTTTACTGTTCAATGGTGCCTTTGATCTACATTTACATTTCTGCTGTTCGATAGGGAAGTTTGCCTTCCTTTTAAGAAAAGAAATGAACTGAAATTTGACAGTCAAACCGCGAAAAATCAGATTTGTACACGAACAACACTTCAACACTTCAAGACCTATTTAAGTGCCTTCAAAACGTTCATTGACACTAATGAATAAAAACTTGAAATTTAAAATCCACTTTTCGAAACTTCATTCACGTTGTTTCGTGCATTTGAGCTTTCGTAATTGGAGAGCGCAACTTTCTTTCCTTTAAGCGAAAAAATTTGAATTAAACTTTGGAGAAACCAAAATGGGACCGCGAAAAGTGAAACAAATACGTCTCATCACGTCCCATTCTGGAATAGGCCGAAACTCAAACCGATTTATCTGGAAACAAACAAAGTATATATTTTTTGAAATTCGAATCACTGTTATTCAAAGGGGCTTTAAAATGATAGCACATTTCTTGCCTTTGAATCTTTCTTGAGGTACTTAGATATGTACTTAAAATAATCCACAAGACACTATATAGTTTATTGCAGTCTCTTTGGGCCCTGATCAATTAACAAATTTTCTTTCACGGAACAATTGCAACTTTTCCAGCAATTATTAGTCAAATATGCCTTTTTGAATGATCGTTTTGTTTAACGTCGAATAAAGAGCGTTTTCTCTCACAAAGCGCGAAGAAAAAATAAACGGACAAAATTGAACGCAGCATTTATATTTAAATGTACATATATATACCCAAATATTTTAAAGCTTAAAAGCTTAAATTTTAAATGCTCACACAGCGAAAACATCGAAAATGCGAATGATGAAAGCCTCTCTCTTAAAACTCAATACAAATCATGAAGCTAGTTTGGACTGCATGGACTTTTCTCTCGCTGGCCGACAGTTTAGCAAAACAATAAGCCTATAAACAAGTCACGCCACTCTAGATTTATAAGCTTCTCGCCGGCCGACAGTTTAGCAAAACAATAAGCACATAAAAACTCAGCAAAATTAGTATGAAAATGAAAAAAAAAGCAAATACGGCAAACTTGTACATACCAATCTGAAAACAAAGTCCGACCACTTTTTTTCTCAAACCACGAGTTGACGCTAATGACTATTGAAATCACTAGACTGAAAAAATCACCAGATAATTGAGTCGATTAAAATATATGTGGTCAAGTCACGCCACTCTAGATTTGCTTTCATTGATTACCGTAAAATTATAAGCTTCATGCATATTCTCATGCTTTTTATGTAGCATCGAAAATATCGTCAAAACCAACTAAAACTTTTTTTAAAAAAGCTGAAACTGCATCCACATTTTAGGAAGCATAGCCAATAGAGAGTTAGAAAAGAGTAAATGTACGCAAGAAAACAGAAAAAAAAAACTGACTGGTTTTTTTGGACTGTTTTAAGAACTTTCGAATTTCGAAGAAAAAAGATGACGTTAAAGCTACTTCAATTTCCAAAACATTTTGACTGGAAGTTATTGACCCAATGAAAAAACTAAATCAAAAAGTAAATTTTTCAGTTCGCTGGGAAATCTGAAAATAAAAATCCACTTTCGAAACTAGAAGTCGATCTTGTTTTTCCTGCCCTTTACAATTTCGCTGTTTGATAGTGGAGTTTCCATTCCTATTAAAAACAAACTGAACTGAACTTAGAAGGAAATCAAAAGTCAAAGCGAAAGCACAAATTTGAACTTGAACAAAATTAAAGACTTTCATCAAAGAAGCCAAAAATCAAAAACATGTTTAAATGAAATTCACTTTGTTCAATTATACTTCACAAAGATGCACGTATCACCAGTTTCTATGCAAGTAGCACTTAATGATCACACTGCTTGAGAACTTATTCAATAAAATAAAGAAAAACATGAAAAACAGACAAAAAAAAACATAAATGAAGTTTTGAATCGAAAAATATACAAGACTGCTCGTATCAGGGCGAAGCCCTGAATGTTCCGACTGCCTTTTAAGGTTTATGGAGCAGCAGTAAAAGCATAAAAAAATTAAATGAAAATTTTTTCTAAAATTTGAAATTTTTTGTGAAAATCATCCCCCCACATGCCATATAAAGTACAAAAAGAGAGATTTCGTTCCTTGTAACAAATCAATTATGGCAAATAAGCTTCGTTCAACCAATTTGGAACGATTTATAAGAGGGATTAAACCTCCGCTTACGCGTTAATAGCGCGAATTATATCGCGCGTTAATTGTCCCAAATTGGTCAAAATGGCCAAAATGGAAATCTTTAAACCCTCATAACTCTACGAAAAATGATCACAGGTGAAATATCTTTTCAAATTTAAGCTCAGGACAACAATACTTTTTGAATGATATAAAAAAATTCCGTCAAAAATGGCTAGTTAAAAAGTCGAAATTTGTCTGAAGAAAAAAAAACCCACCCCGAGCACAAATATTCCGTTACTTTCGTATCGAAAGTCGGAACAATTACAAATTGCCGATGTATTACACAGTGATGTTATACAGCAATACTTTTTGCATGACCTTTCCTGTGATACCAGCACAGCAAACGACTATCCTTGTTAATTTCATGGATTAACTGTTAAACGCCCATGCGTTGTTACTCTAGAGCGCGAAAAAACCGCTGTGATTGCAGTTCTGAGCATCGCTTTCGCGTTCTCGAAATTGCATTAAAATTGGCATATGAAAAAATAACCAAATCCAGGTAAAATAGGGTTTCCACACAGAACAATGTAAAATAACAACGTAGAATCTTGAAAATGAATATTTTTGAGAAAACTAACCCAATTTTTAAAAAAATAGTTACATTAAAAAAAATTGGTTGCATCATAAAAACCGGTTAATAAGAAAACTGAAGTTAATAAGAGGTTTGGAAAGCAAAACTAGCTCTTTTCTTTCAACGTAAACGAAAAAAAAAACTCACCAGTGGTCCGCATGAAGTAGAAGTGAGCGCATGTTGGTCTATGACTGCAGACATAAAGAGACACATGAGAATGCCAGAACAGTGTAGATACGACACCCTCACGTGGGAGAAGTAATGATTGGCTAACTTGATTGGCATCATGATGAAGGCTATACTGTCACGGATACAAATTTGATAGTTGAGTCCTTAAATTTATTAACTGTTACTTGGAAATAATTCATTGCCAGACAAGCTTCAGAGGTACCAAAAAACATTTGAAGAGGTAGGATTTCCACGATAAGGAAATCCTGTCTCTATTGAAGGAAATCAAAAAGACCCACCATAAATCCTATGGTGATTGCTACGAAAGGATCTTCAAAAAATGCTCATCAACCTTTTCATCGGATTGACCAAATTTATTTTCGGAGCTTTTCTAAACACTCACAGGAAAAACATCCTTAAATTAGAATATGGGCACCAAAACCAGCTCTATGTATTAAAATAAGTATTAAAATAATCAACCACCCCTAAATACTCCGTAGAACTTAATAAAGAGAGGCGTCAAAACTTAGCGGAACGGGGTTAGACATTTCGGGGGTGTCAGAATTACTAGGAGGGTCCCGCATCTTCGGATCGATTCTGATTTATATTATGCCAAAAAAAACATTTTCTTGAACATTAAAATTGGCTTAAGTTGGCATGAAGATTTAGTAAATATCAATTTAATGCAATCTTCATTTTATTTGCGTTGAAAATTATTTTTTTTTAAATTCAAAACAGTTAAAACTTTTTTTTCGAAGCTTAAACCATATGTATTATGGTATAAAAATGTTGGGGTCGTTATTCTAGGGGGGCTGAGACTTATTAAGAAGTTGATTTAAACAGCGGAGGGTGGATTTTCCCGACAATTAGGTAGGGCAGAATAAGCCATAGGAAACACTTCCTTGTACAAACACAAAAAATCATGTGCATTTTTGAAGCGCTTCGTAATCGTTTAGTTCCTGCATCAAAAGGACTCAAATAACAAACTTGTTTGCCGTTGAATATTCTTGCACGATAAAAGTGCGAGTCTAAGCAGCAATGAAGTCTATGCAACTGTTATTTGTCGCCAATCTATATCGTAGTAATCTCAAAAAGAAATTGCTAACATCTGCAATGAAATTTTTCTGGATGAAATCAATCTTCTACAACACTATATGTGTTCTAATAGAAAAATAATGGGAAAAACTTAGTACCGAAAGGTCGCAGCAGCCTGGATAATTGCAAGGTTGGTTACAAAAACGACCGAAAACATTCGTCATTGTTGCTTTTTAGGAACACAAATACAATAATTGATACCTGAATCGAAATCTTCAAACGCGAATAAATTTGAATCTTAACTGCAATGAGGTTTACAAAACGTAATTTCTCTCATAAGAAAACAAGCAACCTGGGAATGGAAAAGGATAATATTTACGATACAATGAAATATTTCGAGGTCTAGTACAACGCCATCTGCTGGTCTACAATGAGAATGATAGTTTTAAGCATTTTCATTAACATCTGAAAAAGTGAATTGTGAAATGAAGGTGGAAAATCGAGTAATTGCAGTTAGGGCGTTAATTTTCCGAACACTGAAAGTGGGAGGATCATTGTCTTCGCGTTGGTCGTTGGTTACCATTTTTGTTCCTACCACTGAAACGGGGGAGGAACTTCGTATTAGGGTTGGTTTTAATTTTTTTACTTAAAAAAATTCAGTCAATATCAAGTACCAGAAATAACACAGAGCCTAAGATTCAGGAGCTTCAAAATGCACAAAAACTCAAAACTTCCATGTAATTATATGAAATGTAAGGGATTTTAGAGCGCGAAAAAGCCGCTGTGATTGCAGTTCTGAGCATCGCTTTCGCGTTCTCGAAATTGCATTAAAATTGGCATATGAAAAAATAACCAAATCCAGGTAAAATAGGGTTTCCACACAGAACAATGTAAAATAACAACGTAGAATCTTGAAAATGAATATTTTTGAGAAAACTAACCCAATTTTTAAAAAAATAGTTACATTAAAAAAAATTGGTTGCATCATAAAAACCGGTTAATAAGAAAACTGAAGTTAATAAGAGGTTTGGAAAGCAAAACTAGCTCTTTTCTTTCAACGTAAACGAAAAAAAAAACTCACCAGTGGTCCGCATGAAGTAGAAGTGAGCGCATGTTGGTCTATGACTGCAGACATAAAGAGACACATGAGAATGCCAGAACAGTGTAGATACGACACCCTCACGTGGGAGAAGTAATGATTGGCTAACTTGATTGGCATCATGATGAAGGCTATACTGTCACGGATACAAATTTGATAGTTGAGTCCTTAAATTTATTAACTGTTACTTGGAAATAATTCATTGCCAGACAAGCTTCAGAGGTACCAAAAAACATTTGAAGAGGTAGGATTTCCACGATAAGGAAATCCTGTCTCTATTGAAGGAAATCAAAAAGACCCACCATAAATCCTATGGTGATTGCTACGAAAGGATCTTCAAAAAATGCTCATCAACCTTTTCATCGGATTGACCAAATTTATTTTCGGAGCTTTTCTAAACACTCACAGGAAAAACATCCTTAAATTAGAATATGGGCACCAAAACCAGCTCTATGTATTAAAATAAGTATTAAAATAATCAACCACCCCTAAATACTCCGTAGAACTTAATAAAGAGAGGCGTCAAAACTTAGCGGAACGGGGTTAGACATTTCGGGGGTGTCAGAATTACTAGGAGGGTCCCGCATCTTCGGATCGATTCTGATTTATATTATGCCAAAAAAAAACATTTTCTTGAACATTAAAATTGGCATAAGTTGGCATGAAGATTTAGTAAATATCAATTTAATGCAATCTTCATTTTATTTGCGTTGAAAATTATTTTTTTTTAAATTCAAAACAGTTAAAACTTTTTTTTCGAAGCTTAAACCATATGTATTATGGTATAAAAATGTTGGGGTCGTTATTCTAGGGGGGCTGAGACTTATTAAGAAGTTGATTTAAACAGCGGAGGGTGGATTTTCCCGACAATTAGGTAGGGCAGAATAAGCCATAGGAAACACTTCCTTGTACAAACACAAAAAATCATGTGCATTTTTGAAGCGCTTCGTAATCGTTTAGTTCCTGCATCAAAAGGACTCAAATAACAAACTTGTTTGCCGTTGAATATACTTGCACGATAAAAGTGCGAGTCTAAGCAGCAATGAAGTCTATGCAACTGTTATTTGTCGCCAATCTATATCGTAGTAATCTCAAAAAGAAATTGCTAACATCTGCAATGAAATTTTTCTGGATGAAATCAATCTTCTACAACACTATATGTGTTCTAATAGAAAAATAATGGGAAAAACTTAGTACCGAAAGGTCGCAGCAGCCTGGTTAATTGCAAGGTTGGTTACAAAAACGACCGAAAACATTCGTCATTGTTGCTTTTTAGGAACACAAATACAATAATTGATACCTGAATCGAAATCTTCAAACGCGAATAAATTTGAATCTTAACTGCAATGAGGTTTACAAAACGTAATTTCTCTCATAAGAAAACAAGCAACCTGGGGAATGGGAAACAATAATATTTACGATCCAATGAAATATTTCGAGGTTTAGTACAACGCCATCCGCTAGACTACAATGAGCATGATAGTTTTATGCATTTGCATTAACATCTGAAAAAGTGAATTGTGAAATGAAGGTGCAAAATCGAGTAATTGCAGTTAGGGCGTTAATTTTCCGAACACTGAAAGTGGGAGGATCATTGTCTTCGCGTTGGTCGTTGGTTACCATTTTTGTTCCTACCACTGAAACGGGGGAGGAACTTCGTATTAGGGTTGGTTTTAATTTTTTTACTTAAAAAAATTCAGTCAATATCAAGTACCCGAAATAACACAGAGGCTAAAATTCAGGAGCTTCAAAATTCACAAAAACTCAAAATTTCTCATGTAATAATATGAAATGTAAGGGATTATAGCAGACCGGTTTTTAGCAGACTCAAAACAGTTAGACAGTCAAAAGGCAACTTCAAACGCCGCAATGGCGATCAGCGATCTGTGTTTTACCGCTTATTCAGAATATTCTGTTTTTAAAGTTAAAAGTTTTGTTTACAATTCGAGAGATAATTGTCTAACTAGGGGAAGCTTGGCCCAAGACTGAGCGTATTATTACGTCTGTCAATTAATTATGCGTCCGTTTTGTTGCATAGGTCTGCTGAAAGACTCATTTTTCACTTTTAATGCTAAAAGTTTGGTCTGCTAAACGATCGGACCCCAAAATCTAATTAACTAACAGCAACCCCACTAACTTAGCATTTAATATATTGAAACGTATCAAGCCAAATTATTGATTTCAAAAACATTGCGAAGTAAATCGAGTTGTAAAATTTCTGAAAAAAAGATTTGAATTATTATAATGTTAGATGAAACAAACAGCATTCTCCGGTTCAATTGATGAATGAAAAAAGCATCAACTATGTTTGCTAATTGGTAATCAAATGTCAAATCACTTGGGATTATATTGCTTTTGTAGTCTACCGAATCAAAAGTTCCACCAAAAGTAGCACTTTTATTTGCGACTTGAAAAACTTTTATTTGCGACTTTAAACGTTGTATAAGACTATTACACTACCGAGGGTTGGTGTAATTATTGGAAGAAGTCGAGTTAGATATCTTATTAAAGCCCTGTAAGTAGTGATTCGAACGAAAAAAAATCAAAAAAAGCTTTGCCAATGTCGAGCGAGTTAAACGAGCGAGTACGTCTTATAACACGCATAGAATAGTCTATAACTTAAAATAAACTCTTGAAATTTAGTTTTACTCCAGTAAAATTAGTTTTGGAAGTTTCTTTTAGCGTCTTCTCCAGAATTTTTTTGTAAAATCTATACTTTGTTGCAAAAAACAGGAAAACATTTTTTTCATTTGTTTTATTGTTCTATTCAATTTTCAAGGAAACTGTTGTCGAATGTACCTAATAAAATTAAAATGGACTACGCTTAAGTTCTAGACTTTCGTTTAGATACTCTCTCATCACCTCACAAAAAAAAACGACACAATTTGAAAAAATAAACTGTTTTTTTTTTCATTATTGCGCTCAGAACTGTCTGTTATAAATGCACATCAATAGGCTATCCTTGTTGATTAAAATTTTGAAAGTAGCAACAATAATCTTGAAATTTTGAGTTTCCACTCAGTATTTAAGCAAAGTGCAAAGAATACTCTTTTTGAAAAGAAGATCCGGTGATAATCGGGGGTGAGACAAATTAAAGCTTGCAAGGCTCGGTGGTTTGAGATCTGGCATAATTCATGTTCGCTGCTTGAGGTTGATGCAAAAATTACAAGCCTCTAAATAAACCAAAAAGGGTATTAGTGAATTAAGGGTACATCGAACGATGTTTCTTTACCTCTTTGCTACAGGTTCTTAACCCGACAGAGGGCTATTTCAGCAGCGGCAAAGAGACCCTTCACTGATCATTATTTGGGAATACCTGAGACCAATAAATGACAATAAGTTAATTTATATGCGAACTTCAATTTTACAAAAAATCTGGTTTTGAACACCAGAAGCTTACGCAGAAAAACCAAACAAAAAAGGTCCGTATCGTGCTAGAAGCTTTCTTGAAAAAAAAATTGGAAAAACAAAAGGAATAAATTTTTCTTTATTGTAAAAATGAAGCGTTTTTTTAACAAGACATCGTCAAACCTGAAGCAATAGAGTTTAATAACAAAGCAAACACCCTATAAAAATGCGTGGATAAGAAAATATCTAAAGCAAGAAAGTAAGAAAACACTAAAGCAAGAACTAGAGCAAGATCATTTGAAAAAAAAAACTTAAATTTGATGAAAAAACAAACTGATGTTTTTATCCCGCTACACAGGGCTTAAAACTGTTAAATTGAGACCCATATAAAGGTATATAGTTTAAAGATATAGTTGACGATATAGTTTTAAAAATTTCAAATTTCTTTGAAATGCCTCATTACAAGACCTATCTACACAACCTACTTATTGTATACGCAAAAATTTGACCACACAGCCCAGCAAAAGAAGAAATTAAGCGGTTAAAACAAATCAACAGAAAATCAACAGATTGCAACAACTGTTTTAACAAAACGATGTTTTTTTCAATGTGTTATCTTTGAGGACCTAAACGTTTTTAGACCATTTGCAATGGCTTGAATTAACTGAATCACTTTTTAAAATGATGCTGCCAAACCATCCGATTTGAAATATAATTGAAGTTGAGCGTCAAATTCAATCAAGTGACAAATACATTCAATCGTTTTTCGTCTCGGGAAAAATCCAAAATTTTGTGTTTACCAGCTGTAACAGATGACGTGGAGGGGTTAAAAAGTCACAGACTTACAGAGTATTTTGAGCATCAAAGGTTAGCAGGGGACAAATTAATCATTATGATAGTAATGGGCGAACTCAATAGAATGTGTTTGTAGCATTATAACCCGGATTGACAATCCAGCAAAAAATGCCCCATCTCAGAACTTCTTACAAGATTAAAATGTAATTTCCCCTATTTTACAAATTTCTCATAGGTAAAGTTTTCAGATAGTAATTTTTTCCCAAAAAACAAGGAAAGTTAGAAACACGTAGAGCCGGTGATTGTACAAGTAGCACAGAATGTCACGACTGCGCTTATGAATGCAGGAAAAAAACTAGTTAGTCTTACTTTTCCTACTTTTCGGTTGTTTTCTTAGCTTGTGAGTGCAGAAAAAATTCGCCAAGAAGCTAATGAAATCAGTGGACAAAAGCACAATCAATGAAAATAACTGCAGAATAAGGAGATGGGAAATACGACGACTATATAGGAGACTGAAATTTGGGGCCTGAAAATCAGAAAAATCAGTGCGTTTTTTTAATCGGCACCCGACTTTTTTTACACTAAAATCACGACTGAAAAGGTTCAAAAATGATGCCACCCTAGCCCCCAACGAGCGTTCGTTGAGAAGGTAAAACCCCATAGTTTCTTCTCTTCGTATCGCTGAAGCGGTCGAACTAATATCAACAATTTTTTTGGATGAATTCTTGGTAATTTTTTGAGGTTTTTATAATAGTGAATTGCCAAATGTTTCTATATTTCAATACTAACTTGTCTTCGCAAAAAACGTTTACAGTCTGATTTATAGGTTTTCGCTATTTTCGCACTGGACTAAAAAAGCATTTTCACAGCAGAGGCAAAATGGAGCTTCGCATCACTTGCGATTTAAAAATGTATTCAGCAAATGAAAAGACGAATAATATATATTTTTTTAAATTAGCAAAAAAAAAGATAAAACTCCTGAAACAAAATTACCTGAACCATTAAAAATTCTTCGAAGAGCTTTCAAAATGCTACAAAGAAATCAAACCTTTCCGCGGGACCTAAGCTGACAAAAATTAGCAGACACGAAAGTGTAGAATATTCGAAAATTGTAAAAAAAAAAACGTGTTCACACCGCAAAAAAAAATGTGATGGTGATACAACTTAGAATTTTCAAACTTTAAAAAATTACACGACCTCAATCAATCTCTTTACTCTTTACGTTGAAAAATATACTAACTGTCAGTAAAAAGAACGATTTTTGATAAAACTTGAATTTTCCAAAAATTACATTATGAGGCCAAACTGAGCATTTTGTAAATTGTCTAGGGATTCCGCAACAAGGACGCTCCCTTTGTTCTTTCATTTCCTTTGATCGTTCTGACAAAATTTCAACATGTTCAAAGACGTCTCTGGAATCCAGGAACATACAGACACAAAATTGTGCGCCTATCCAGTGCACAATTTGGGCTCGTAATGTACTTTTCACCAGTTGTTTCTCATAGACAAATCAATCAAAATCAAAAACAGAACTATGAACAAGCGCGCGTGAAAACGGTGAACTTGCATATCGAAACTAGAGGCCCAGCTGAAAGCTGGAGAGACCTGTTTGATTATTTTAATATTGATTATTTTAAAACTGTTTTAAAATTTCAGGTTTCTCAAGTCGATAGCGCCCTTCCTAGGGAAAAAAAATGAAAGAGAAGCTTATGCATTCATTGGTAACGCTTTGGTAAAAAGTTTTCATGAGGGAACTTTTCAAGTCCTAAAAACCGAAAAATTGACTATTCCTAAGTGTATAGCTCTTCCCCTAGACAAATTAGGGACGAGCCGTTTGTGTAGGGGGGGGGTTCCTACAACCTGGTCTATCGATTAAACCCTTAATCCCAAATCTGGACGGGTAGTTTTGAGGAAATCGGAAAGATTTGAAAAAAGGCCAAAAAAGTCAAAAAAGTGACTTTTCCTAAGTCTATAGCTCTTCCCCTAGGCAAGTTAAGGACCAGCCGCTTGTGCGGGGGAGTTTCCTACAACCTGGTCTATCGATTAAACCCTTAATCCCAAATCTGAACGGGTAGTTTTTGAGGAAAATGGGAAAGATTTGAAAAAAGGCCAAAAAAGTGACTTTTCCTAAGTCTATAGCTCTTCCCCTAGGCAAGTTAAGGACCAGCCGCTTGTGCGGGGGAGTTTCCTATAACCTGGTCTATCGACTAAACCCTTAATTCCAAATCTGGATGGGTAGTTTTTGAGGAACTCGATAATTTCCGAAAAAATAGGCAAAAAAATCAAAAAAGTGACTTTTCCTAAGTCTATAGCTCTTCCCCTAAGCAAATTAGGGACCAGCCGCTTGTGCATGGGAGTTTCCTACAACCTGGTCTATCGATTAAAACCTTAATCCCAAATCTGGACGGGTTGTTTTTGAGGAAATCGAAAATTTCCGAAAAAATGGGCAAAAAGTGAAAAAAGTACCGAGTTGTGAAGCTTTTCTAAGACCGTAGGGGGTGGGGTAGGGTAAAAATTGCCCTAAATTTCATGCAGGCAGGTAGGTGAAACGCTACTGAATCCATTGGTACCACTTTTATGAGAATCTGACGGGTAGTTTTTTGGGAAAGCGAATTTTTCGAAAAAGCGTCTCAAAAAAAAAAAAAAAAAAAAAAACCAGATCTCATCTGGAAAAAAAAAACGTTTTCATAATACCTGTTTAATAAATCAAACAGGAACAAAAATTATACATTTATTAAAATTTTCATCAGGCTGGCTTCAGTCAACTAATTTTGCTGCAAAACGCACAAAAACGAACACAAAGATCTTTTCAAAGATTTTTTTTAGCTATTTAAAAAAAATTTCATTTTTTTCCTACAATTTTTGGGCTGAGAAAAAGCTCACTCACGCTTCAAAACAAAGTTTTTTAGCTGAAAATTTCATGGAATAGCTTTAAAATGTTTCGCCCTCTTCACTCAGTTGCTTTTCTCGCTAAAATTGGACTACTAATCAAAATCAATACCGGTTTTGCTCGACCCTTTTTTTCGAAGGAATCCCAATTTAAAGATATTCAATATGATGTATCACAGAACCCCATTTGACGAATATTTATGATACCTAATTTTGAGTGGAAAGAAAAAAAAACAACAGAATACTACGTTCCTCCCCATTCTCAGCGGCCGGAACATTAAAATACTTTTAAGCGCTTAAAAAGGTTGATTGCAATATTTTATTTCTGCTTTTGAACTATGAAAACGAAGTTCAGCTTCGGGAATTCACTTCAAAAAGGAGTTTCGATATTTCAAATACTATATGAGCAGAAACAAATGCTTAGAACTTCGCAAAAATCCACATATAGTTTAAAAGTCAAGACTTAATCGTCGGAGCATTACTTCATATGTTTCACTAAACTTTTCGGTGTATTCATCTGTTAGTAAACAACGTAATGAAAAAATATTTTTTGAAAAATTAATTTTAAGTGAGGAAATTTAACAATTTAAGAAGTTAGTAAAGCATTGATTTACAATATCAATTATGAGCGATCGTTAGATATAGGTAGTGTCTTTAAATTTCTGCAATACAAATTATGATCTAAATCTAGCTTAATTGTACATTTCAGTGACAAAAATACTGTTATCCCATGAAATCGTCAATGACAGTTTCAAATCAATTACTTTTATTGCACAAATAAAGGACAAATATGAGGCAAAAAACTTTTCCCATTCTTTTTTACAGGAAAATATAAACCAACAAACATTTAAGAATAGCATCATTTAAACTCGGTCGCTTGCACTTTTCATCTTTAAATTGTGAGTTTTAGGCATAAGAATCGACAAAACAAACAACCTCAATATAAAACTGCGTCTTTTATTCAAAAAAAATGTTCGAAAAAAGTTTGATACGCGCTTCATTTTTCTATTCTTTTCCTGAATCTTAGCTGTACAAAATCAAATTGTTCTTGTTTGTCTAAATTTACAATTCAGCCGAAATCATAGTACTGCTCGAATTAGCCGAGTGTAAACTAGACGAGTTAAAATTCATCGGTCTCCATTTTTTCGGCTCTTTAGTCGCTTGAAGTGACGATCTAAAGCCACCTCCTCTTTGATCAGCAAATCCTCTGCCTGCATTGGGTCCTGTTAGTCCTGGCATAGCAACACCGCCTTTTGGCGGCATAAACGGAATCGCAGATGGCGGCCGAGAACCCGCAGCACTCGGTGCATAACTCGAACCCGAATCATTATAACCACCTAAAACAAATCATTAAACAACTAAACCTTGAAACTTCCAGAATATCTAGATTGTCAAATGGTTCGTATACCGGAAAGTAAATATAAAAAACACCGTTTCTGAAAATAGTTTCACGTATACAGAAAAGTAAATACTAAAAAAACACATATTTTCTGATGAAATTTGTGTAATTTATTTTGATGTAACATATTATGTACACAGGAGAAATAAATTCTTCTTCTAATCAGATGCTGCTTAATTTGTGAACGCTAATAATTTTCAACTTAACAACTGTTTATGAAATATTAACATTATATTGAAACGAATATTAAAAATTAACATTATTGAATTAACTACTATTAAAAAAACATTATTGACAATAAAGAAACGAATAAAACTGAGTTAAACATCGAAGCTAGCTGAGGAATACGAGATATTTTGTTCCTTTTTAACACAAGTCGATCATTCGACCAGTTGACCTCAAGTCAAACCAGCGAACTAATCTCAACTTAGGGTTTAAAACAAAATTTATTTTCGATTGATTGGAATCTCAAGTCCTTGAGACAGCAAAACAATCCTGCCCTTAATTGCCTTGGGAATTTATCATTTTCAAAATTATCGGATAAAATGTGTTCAGTCCTCACCGCGTCCTGTCGTGTTATAACTGTTATTATAATCCATTCCTCCGTAATCATTGGTAGTTGTATTAATTGACGACTGAGACATGTTTAGGTTCCGATTTCCAGGACCTGCAGAAATCATAGTGGGCATCGGAGGGTTTATCACTCTTCGACGGTCGTTCAACATTGAGGCCTTGCTCATTGCTTCGGCCATGATTTGGGCGCCACTTTGCATTGTTGATTCCAGTGGGATACCTAAAACCACACAAAAAAATCACTGATTGAACTAAAATTTCTTCGTCATTAATTGATTAGTGTTAGGTGATGACGGTGAAGAACTTATTCATCCAAGCAAAACAAAAAATATAGACTTTCAGCACAACAGTTGAGAAAGAACAAGTGACGAGATCAGCTGACCTGCTATATGCCTACCCTTACTATTATTGATTGCTTACTTAGAGCCTAATATCATTTAAAAGGGCAATAAAACGACATCAATTACAATTGGTCAGATTCCAGCTTCAACTAAATAATAACTATTTTTCCCCGGCGATGCTAAAAAAAACTTCAGAGCTATGACCGTTCCACAAACTGAATTCTAAAGCCATTTTATAATGCAATCAGGCGCGGATCTTGTTTTATTTTTCAGGCTTTTTCAAGTCTTTCATTATTTTTTTGTTGAAGCGGAAAAGTGAAACATGATGTGAGCCTTAAAACTATCCTTTTTATGTCAAAAAAAATATTAATTAAATTTCCCTTACCGCCTGCGGCCGCCTCCCATGGCGATATCTGTTTAATCACACTTGTCATAGAGGGCAACCTCTCCGGTCTGGCCTGGTGCATTCTGCTCAGACTCTTCTCAAGGGAGTCCTCAGTCACTCTTCCTGACTTGATTGCCTCCACTATCCCGTAACTCTTCTCACGTCTGTTGGTCTCGTCAGTGACCCAACGAAGGGATTTCTCGTGACGTTTTTGAAACATCGAAGAGCCACGACCTATAATTAGAAGCAAAAAAATTGCACATACAAAATTATCTAAAAGGATACAAAATTATTTAAAAGGAGTAATTGACCTATTTCGGAAACCTTTTGTATGCAAACGCTAACTTTTCAGACAAAATTCACCCAAATTGCATGCGAAACTGACAATTTTTGCTCGTTTTAATTGCATCTGCCTGTCCAAACTTTTTGCAACTCAACTTGATGGATTAAGATTAGTCACTACAGTTTCACTAAATCGTAAAATATGGACCACGAATTCATTTTTGCAAAAAAAAACGAATTAAACGCTTGCATCATTTGCATGATTTTCAAATAAATCATTTTCTTTTCAATATCGATTGGAAAGCGACTGAGTACTGCACAAGAAAAAAATCGTTTTATTAGTTAAGTTCACATTCAAATTTTCATCGCTCCTCTGTTCAGCTCGTTTTCGAACACTTAAAACGGTAAACAGATGCGGATAACTTTTCTCATTTTTTGCAATTACATACAATGAAAACTATGTTCACAATTTTACCGCAAGAGTTGATCTTTTGAATGAGGTAAAAACAAATCTGATACTACAACACTTAATAGTTATCATTTTTTGGTATTCTTATTAAGTTATTATTCTCACCTCTCCCGCCTTTGAGATCTCTCACAATCATATTACACACATTGGGAGTCACAATATTGTGTTCACATGGTTCATCGTCCGACAAGTCCACGTCGAAGTTAGTCGCCCTCACAAACTTATGTTGCCCACTTTCTGGGTCGTAGACTGAGAACTGCTGTTGTTGGTTGTGTTTATTGTGACGCAGCCCTCTGGCGCAGTTCAAGAGATCCTCTGGATTCGGGGGCAGGGGGATGCCGGATTGAATCAAATCTCTAGCGACTAAAACAAATTAAGTGAATTACAGAACTTCGCTTCGCTAAACAAAAAAATTTAATCAATAGATAAAAAGTTTGGATAAGGTCATGCCATAATAATTTGAGGCTATAAGTAGAAACTACAATTATTTTGACAACGCGACTTTAAGAAACTCAGCAATGAGTCAAAATCTTCAATCAGGCTTTCGCTTCAACTTAAATGTTCAACTTTAATGAATTCTATGTTCAATTTCTCTTTCATGCTACTTTTAGAATTTTATGTCTAACTAGAAGCTTTCCAAATCTAAGTTAAAGAGACAGTAGGAAAAAACACAATTAACGCAAGAAAACAGAAAAAAAATGAGTTGAAAAAAAAATAAAAAGCTTTGAAGCTCTCTTAACTTGATAAAAATAACACAATTTGAGAAAACTGGATCGTGAGGTGAAGTTTTCTTTCCGCTGGGAATTGTGATAGTTAACACCCACTTTCGGAATCAAAAATAGATCACGTTTTTCATTACCTTTACACTTTTACTGTTCGTTATCGGAGTTCTCCTTCCTTTTAGGTAAATGAATTGAACTTTAAAAAAATCAGAATTCAAACCGCAAAAAAAAGTAATTTTGAGCCTGAAAAAATTTGAAGACTTCCTGAAAACTAAAAAAAATTATTGCGACCTATATAAGAGTCTGGAAGACACACAGATGCGAAGCTTCGCTTCGCAAAACCTAGCCAGAACACGGCAAAAAGCAGCTCTATAAAGTGCAAAAAAAAAGAAATAAGCCTCGAATTGGTAAAATGGATTCCATCAGCGACCTAGAGATTATGCATCACACGCACTAGCCAGGGACGATTAATTAATAACAAACACTAGCCACAAATAAAGCAGAGAACAGCTGCTATGAAATTACCAATGCTATATCGTGATTTTAGCAAAAGGGCACCAAATAAGTTAATACTTTCCTTTTTCAATGAAAACTTTTATTTGCTTTTAGGTTAGAAAAAACAAGGTTCGTAGTAACACACTACGCTGACCGCAGTGTAATCATAAAACTGCATAAAGACTGCAAAACACCATTATTTGTACTCACTTCTCTCCATTTTGTGTTCCATCGCTTTCTCTCTCAGATCGTCCAGAGTGGAGGGCACATTGGCGTACTCCTTCTGGGGCCCCTCATTTCTACCATAGCCCTCGTACGTGTACTGGGCCGCACGCTCTTGTCTAAAACCACAATGCAGTTAAAGAAAAAGCCGTCAAAATGTCCTCAATTTTCGCCAAATTTGAATATTTACAAGTAATCGAAATGATATTATAACGAAGAGACAGATGCCATGTTAATAAAATCGAAAAAAAAATGTAAAGGTTCTCTGAAATTTTTTTTGAAAAAATAAATAATTCTAGCTACATCTGGAATCGATCCTCAACTCACTGCTCATAATTACTGGGCCGAAAAAACTGCGCGCTCACATGGATCTGTACTTATGATCAAAAAACTGTTTTTTAAATACCGGAAAAGTTTGATTCGCTCTAAATAGCCAACCTCCGCTTAAGTGACAAAAAAAATTATTACCTTTCGAATTTCAAAATTATTCCGCAAAATTTGAATAGCACTCTTTCAAACCTCCTTCTGAACATCCTGCCTCCTTTCGCCTCCACATTCCGTGGATCAAACAGCGACTGAGACACCAGCTGGGCCATCTTGCGTACCTGCTCCGACGAGGGAATCAGATCCTTAGCATAAACGCCCACCTGCCATGATTTATGGTCGGGTCGCTCAAGGGTGGGGGCTTCATCTGGAAAATCATAATTCTTATATTCAACTGAAACATCGTGAAACTTTATATACCCTGATAATCACTTAATTATTTGAAAACCTAATATAATAGTTATTAGTAAACTATCGTTCAAAAAATACATTGTATATTTAAAAAATTACAGCAGAAAAAAAGGTTTAGACCATTCAGAGAGGTAACTTCATTTATATCAAAACCATCCATTCTGTGGTTTATTGTGACATGATAATTTCAGACATGATCGATATAATAACTTCAGAAATTAATTTCAGACACAATCATCTAAAATCAAGACTATCTTGTGGCAACTACAACTCACCCCGCATGGACTTAATAGGCTGCCAATGACTGGCACTGACTTGCAATGGTCTCGTCACATCCAGAGAAGTCACACTTGACCTCCTGCTTCCCATGAGAGAATTACCCCCCATTATACTCCCCCCTCCCATCACACTCATTGGACGCGAGGGTGGGTTGAAGTTCGACGAGAGTGGTGGGTTGCTGGGCGGTGGTGCTGCATTAGGAACGAACACTAAAAAAGATTCACCTGTCGTTATCATTCATTAACAATTTTACATTTTTGTTCCGACCATTTGAAAAATGGGGAGGAACTTTGTATTCGGATGTTTTCCTTTTTTTGCTATTGTACAAACGTTTTCATGCAGCTTTTAAATTTCTAGCTTTCTTGATTTGTTATTATGCACATCTGTAACACAGTTAAGATTGATCGTGAGCATGTTAGACAATTTGTTTTCAGGCCTTTTAACTTCGACTAAGCAGTGAAATATTTAGCTGAGCCAAGACGCAATATTCAAGATGACCGAACGAAAGAACTGTCTCGGAATCTTCGTAGTGCTAATTTTAAATTGACCTCGGCGCTCATATTTTTAGAAGGTCAAATTAGAACGTAATTTATGAAAGGCATGACCTTGAAAATAATGTCACACATGGTTCTAATTTCTACACTGAAGTCAAAACTAACACTCAAATATTCAGCAGTTTGTCCGGAGATCCTAATTCAAATTCCACAGCGAGCATGGTTTGGCTAAACTTAACATACCAACAATATAATATTACCGAGAATTCCGTGTCTACAGAACAACAGTGCATTAAGTACTGACTGCATATGAATATTTACATGTTATAAGTTAAGGCAAGTTAAAGAACATTTTATTTAGAAGCCATTACATAATATCTGCAGGTACTTTGAAGCATGCATTTCATTAAACCCAGCAGTTATGTTGAAACCTTCCGCTCGAAAGTTTATGCCTATGAATTTAGCCGGCAACACAAAACACTTACTGCGACGCCTCAAACCAAATACGAGACATTAGTAAAATTCGATATTTAGAACGACGGTTCCAGTAGCCGAAAAGGTTTTTTCGTCACTGAAGCATAAAATAACATGAACAAATCTTCGTTGTAATTGAACACAATTGGGCAAGTTCAGAGCCTATACTTTAAATTCCAAGCCTGTTTGGAAGACAAATCCAGGCTGGTTGCAGATACGAAGGTTACAGTTTCGTCCATTTTTGACAAATACAACAAAAATCAGTTAAATCCTTTGAAGTCATTTCCAAATGCAGCAACTTTACAACTTCCTCGATAAATTCTCAAGATATTTCACGGTCCGGAATCCATTTGTTAATCTCAATTCAATTCAAGTTATATCGTTGCCAGTCAACAGAAATAAAATGACATGACTATGATTAAATCCGGAACCAGAATGTTTACCCGTCTACGGCAAAACTTCTACATAAATTGAAGCCTCAAAGACATCGAATTGTATCGTATTATTAAACTTCAAAATTCAAGTATATTTATTTAAAGAAACAAACTCTTCGATCAAAATTTTACAAATCTTATTTTTCCCCTTGACTAAGTAGTCGATGTTTTCGTATTTTGTCTCGAAAAACTTCCTCTCCTTAGTTTAACTCAGAATCAACAGATTTGGGCTCTAAAATTTGGTTCGAATATTAGCCTGAAGCAAACAAACCTTTAAACATAATCAAACTAAATATTAAAATTATCTGCTCAGAATAGTTCAACATCCAATAGCAGTCTGGCATGGTTATAGAAACCGGGGGCTTTTCTAATGCGCGAAAACTCTCAACCAATCAAAGCCCTTTAAACTGTCTTAAGCTAGCTGATTTAATTGGGTATTTTTTTAATTTTGAATAATAAAATCTGATTTGCTGAAAACATTTTCGCGCATTCGGTACTTCGTGCATGAGGGACTTCTCAGGTGAAACCTTAAAAATCAATACACAAATACCGTTAATTGATAGGTTGCCATTACGTTATTATGATCACGCTTTCGTTATGTAATGAACTGTTACGTCACACCGCATTCGGTTGTTCACATTTCGGTACCTGGTTGGTATGACATTGAACTTTCAATGTTGCCTCGAGGGGTGATTCGATTTCGCTGAAGAATAATTAATTAAATTGTCCAGTCATAGTTTTCCTACGTCAGAACTACGTCGAAAACTCAGGATTTGAACAGAAGATGAACAGATTTGAACAGCATAATTTAGATAAGAGTCTTCAGCATTCTTCAATTTTTTTTGCACAACTAATGTCAATTTTTACGACCGCAATATAGCAAAACAGTGTGTCATTATTGGTATTTTTGTTGACTTTGTATAGTTAATGCCAATGTCGGAGACCTTGGGCATTTAAATCGGTCAAAAATGGGAACTTTCAAGTTAACTAGATTTTTGACATGGCTTTCCGGGTGAACAGAACGTCAAACAGAGCAGATTTAGGTGAATAACGACTTTTTGACCAAAAAAACTATTTTGGGATCAACTAAGTAAACATCAACAATAGACAATAGCAAAATTATAGAACAGACAAAATTAATTAAAAGAACAGTCCGCCAATTTGGAACAACATTTGAATGCTATCTTTCATTTTCAAACCTTCAGATATCATTTCAGTTTGAAAAACTAGCATTTGCATGAAAAAGTTTCCTAAAATTTGCTCTATTTTATTTAATTCTGTCGGTTCATCTGTCTTCAATAAGTCTCTTGAAAAATATTCGTTTTTTTTGTATTCGAAAACTTCTTTTTTTAATTTCCAAAATAAATAGCAAAAAGTATGAACATAATTAGTTGAAAAGAGCTAACTGTCCATTTTGAGCAATTTTTACATGCAAATTTGAATTTATAAAGACTTTGAGAAATATTTTCTGTCTGAAAAATTATCATTTGCATGCAGAACTTATCTAAATAGATCGTTTATTCTTTTAAACTAATCTTTCCAACTTTTTGCCCAGTCCAACTTTTTGAAACTCTCTAAATACAAAATACCCCGTTGAAAAAACAAACCTGTCGGTTGGACGTGTAAAACGACACCGTCACAGGTTGCGTAGAAATCGAACTCAACGTCTGATTCTTAGCAGGCGGGTTCGAATAACTCCTCGTATTTGCATTCACGTGGTGGTACATTGTATTCACGCTGTTTTGAGCAGGGGCGGGGGTGTATTGGTTGAGGGATGTTTGACTTGAGAACATCATTTTGCGTCTGTGTGAGTTGTCGAGAAAAGACCCCCCGCTGGAGCTGGGATAGGATCCTCCGCCGTTGTTGCCCCCAATTGTCGACAGATCCGGCTGGAATATGAAAGTTATTATCAAATCATACCAGATGAACAAAATCATACCATTTGAAGTACAAGTACTTATCTTCAAAATTGTCCAAAAGTTTTGGTAATACGGATTGCAATAATGATCTAAATTTTAGCGATTTTGAAAAAATGTTACAAATAAGAGGCACAAAAAAGGATGCCAAAAACAGCCTTTTCTTTAAAAAGTTGAGACAGTTTTTGGGAGCTCTTTTCAACTGAGCTTCAAGTGGGGAAATAGCTTACCTTCGAATATCTTTTCCAGGTGGCATATGGATTGGTGGAGTAGAGAGTAGGTCCCCCTCCCTTGTCGAAGTTACTAGACCTCGTTATTGTCCTCTGGAAGTCCACGTTTCCTTGCCGGTCACTGAATCGAAAGACATTTTCATGAGCGAAAATTGACTATTTATAAACTGGTTTTAAGTTTTCACGCCAAAAATTACTCGATAACAGATACTTTGTTCTTTTGACAACATTTTTATTGTGCATAGTATAGCAAGACACCGGATTTGACTCTCTTAATTTAAACAGTCTTTGAAAATTTAAGCAGGCAAGAGTAACTATTGCCAGCAAACGTTGGAGTAGTGCATGCACAAGTCTCGAAAACATATCCTCTTTTTTGTTATATATCCTGGTCTCAAAAAAATCATATACATGCATCAGAAGCTTTTATCAATTCACTTGATTTGAAATAAGAAAACTTCGAAGCATTTCGACTAAAAAACGGATAACTCTCAAATGTACCTGAAATACTCTTGGTTCACACTCTCCGACCTTGGCTGATGGCCCATAGTCTGATACATTCTCTGGTTACTCCCATCATTCACCATTCCACCATTGTACCTAGGAGGCTCATTGTTGCTTTCCATAGACGATAGGTTCGAATTGGATGCCCTCCATATATGGGTGGTGCTTCCACTGAAGGACTGTCGGCCTCTGCTCAAGTTCTGAGTGGAGCCGTAGCCTGCAGGCGAAGCGTTGTAATAGTTGTATGGTCGCATTTTGGATCTTAAAACACCAATTGCAAGCAAACTTACATATTCTCAACACAGGCGAAGCTGCACTTAGCTAACACTAGCCAGAACACGACAAAAACGCAGACCTATCAAGTGGAATAAGAAGCAAATAAGAAACTGCTGTTTGAAACAAATAACTTTTTCCGGTTCAATTAATGCATTAAAAATGAATCAAATGTGTTAAATAAATTATTACTAATCAAATGTCCAAGTATATATGCCATTATACTGCTATAGCAGCCTACCGATTCAAAAGTGTCACCATGAGTAGCACTTTTAGTTCCGAATTAGGTTCGAAAAAAAAAGTTCGTGGAAAAACACTTCGCTTCGCAAGCTCGCAAGCTCGCAAGTATAAATAAAAATATTAACCGCAGCAATATTTTTAAATGATGACGAGTTTTTAGTTATTATCAACATGATTAATGCCTTTTCGAAGTTGTCACCGAATTTTTCAGTTATTTTTGGAAATAAATTGAACACAATAGCCCGGCAAGGCTCTAACTTGCTTGCTATAATCAAAAACAAGCGGAACTGCTTACTCCCCCAAGTAGTACAGAATGTTCTTGTAGCAATCATGAAACTGGTTCTTCTAGCTCCTGTACCAATTGGTGGCGGTCTGATGGTAATAAATACTGAACCTATATAAACTGATCATAGCATTTAGAGACAAAGTGAGTTAGGACCGAGTTGGTTAACTCATAGAGTAATTTCGGATAGGGTACACCGTCTGCTCGTCACGCTATCTTATTTTCGGCCGGATAGATTCGTGCAACTTCTTAGTCTAATACCGATCCTAATCTTACTCTTATACTATCTAGTCTCAGGTTGTTTAACTAGTCTCTGCTAGGCTCAATAGATCTAGGGTATACTGGTTTATTGCGGCTGCTGAAGTGCTCGGGAGAGTCCAACTAATTTCTAAGTTAAATTCAAATCTCTCTGGTGCTGAAATTACAAGTAACTTCAGCACTTACAAATAAGTGGGTTGTTAGTTAGATGGATCATGATTGGTTAATATTAAATACTTTACATTGGTAAAATATCTAAATTATCCAATCATAAAATGTAGTTTAGATCAGGTTCCACCCATCCGGGTTTTACAGAGTTTTTTAGAATAGTTCTTCTGCAATTCGAAGGATGGATGATGGACGTTGGTGTTTGGCGAACATCTTATTTCTTCGGTTTCTTCTTTGTTAAAGAAGTTCCAGGAAGCTGGAGTTAGAGACATAAGACGTTGTGTCTTCTAGTGACAACGACTAAGTCTTTGCAACAAACTCAAATCTGATTTCAGAATGGTTTGCTATGTCAGGTTTTTCTGTTCTGCGTGGAGAACTTCTTTTGTGTCTGATCTAATTTGGGAATGGCGTGGAGATTGTGCGTGGAGGGGATGCCTGGTTACTCGGATCTGTACGTATACTTGAGCATCGAGGTGGTCATTGGTCTAGTTCAATGAAGTCCTTTTCTGCGAAGTCAAGTCGTACTCTAAATCCTTTGAGTTGTGATTGTGAGTGGCATATCGATTGTGGTTGGCCATTCTCTCTCGAGCGTAGTGGGGTCGTTTTGTCTTTAGATGTTCGTCCTTGGTGTTGTATTCTGATCTATGTATTGCATAATGTAATTTACATTTTATAAAACATTTAATTAGTTTAATATTTTTTAATTATGATTTTAGTTAGTTGTTTTCACAAAAGCTTTTTGTTTTAGTTCGGTTATTTTGAAGAGTTACTCACACTTGAGTAGCTCTTATTAAAAATAGAGGTGTGGTCACAAAGCGTGGATGTAGCGCGGTGGGTTAGGCCGGCTATAGAGCATGCTCAGGACGTCCTTCCTGGTGGGTTAGGCCAGGAGTGGGAGTATGATTTCATGCGGTTTTTGTGAGGGGTCCTGTTATGTGACAACGTTTTATGTTGGGTTTGTTGTGGTTTTTCTTATGTCTTGTTGGTTATGTCCTTTTTCCAAAAAGCAAATTGTTCGTGGTATGGGTTTGTCTTTCGACTTTTTTGTGTTTTATTATTTCTTTCTTAGACTTTATAATAGTCTTCAAAAGAATAAATTATCCAGTTTTAAACTGGGTTAATCCGGTTTGGGTACCGTTGGTTTCCTTTTCTTAGTCATGCTGTTATTCTATGATTTGTGGTATTTAGTAAGCTGCGTTGGTTAGTTTTGTTTAGTATATGATTCCTTTCCAACCGGGTTAAAGGAAGGTTTGAAACATGTTATTATATGTTAGAGTTGTTTAGTGTGAAAACTTGAAACTGAAATTCATTATTTTAAACAATTCTTCGTGGGCGAGCTGTGCGAGTGTGGATAGAATTTCTGTGCGAATGAATGAGAATATCAAAAGGTTAGTACTGCATTTGCTTCTTATTAATTTACTGCATAGAATTTGGAAATTTACTGCTAGTTATGGGGGAATTTTAAGTTACAAATTTTCATCATAATTAGATTTACTGCTTGTGGGGAAAATTTTAGAAATGAATTTACTGCATTGGTATTAAATTTATAAATTTATAAGTGTAAGAGATTAATAGAATTGTTGAAATCTGTTTGATGAAATTTGCGATCTTTATTTGTTTTTTGTGGTTTTTGTAGGTGATCGTCGGATGAAGACTAAAAATCTAAAGAAAACATGGATAAAGAATGGTGAGTTTTTAATATTTTAATTAGTTAGTAATATTCATTTAATTCATACTTACCTGTTAGTCGTCGGGGAAAAAACCGTGGGGGAAGATGTCGTGGATGAGATCGGAATTTGTTAGTAGTTTAGCTAAGATGCGGATGATATTTTTAGTCTGAAGCAGTGGCCAAAGCAATTGAAGTGCCTTAATAGTGGTTAGTTCTTCAGTGCCAACTGCAAACTCATAAGGTGTGTTTTGGATTAGATTATATAATTTGTGATTGAATTTAGTGTTGTGGATGAAGTCTAAAATTGGGATTTCTATGGGTTGTACAAACTCGTGCGGGATAAGGAAGGGTCGGGATTCTTCGGCGTTGAAGGTCTTGGTGATGGGACAGAAGATGTACATTTGGGTTATGGGATCATAATTGCGAAGAATACCATGAAGGTTAGTATCTTTAATGCAATATGTGAAATTTAGGAAAAATGGTGAAGTGTATTTGGAATTAATGAATTGAAAGCGATGGTGTGGTTGTCTAGAGGGTGTGTGTAGGTCAAAGTGATTTTGGATGAAGCGGTAATAACTATATGTGTGGGTTTGTTTAGTGCGCAACATAATATCGTGTGAGCAGTGTAAATCTCTTTCGTGTGGTGCAAGGAAATGAAAGGTTAGTGAAAATATTTGGAAGCGTTCTTTAAAACTTTCGTATGCTTGTGTGTCTGTTAGTGCTTCTGAAATAATGTGATCAAACTTTCGGTCGAAGATGTTTAGTGTAAATATATATGGTGTCTTGATGAAAAATTTCTCGGTAATTTGTGGATTAGCGAAGCGATCATCGTCTAAGAATTGATCTTGGTTAGCTCTGATGATGTTGTGATCATAGTATTCGAGTGTATATTCGTTAGCTCTAGGTGCAGTGTGTGTTTTTAGTGATTTTTTATATCCAACGTAAGTAAATTGTCTAGCGGTTAGTGGTGTAGTGAGTCGATATAGCATGTCCGTATTTCGCTCTATATCGATGTGAGTGTTAGATAAAGGTAAGCAAAGAGGGTTAGTAAAATGATAATATGAGGTCCAAGAGAGAGTGGGCATTAAAACGTATTCATCTACAAAGTTGCGTGTTTCGTTAGTGTCGTGGGGGGTGTTTAAGGTGTATTGTGGGAATGAGGGTAAGGTGATGGCTAAAAATTCTTTTGTGTTAGTATGCTTGGGGTGGTTGATGTATTCACGGGCTGTTCCTGGTTTTGCTGGGAAAGGATGGTTGGGGAACTTTCTTTTAAAAGTGCGGTAAGCTCTATTAGTGTTGAGTGAAGATTCAGTTGATGTGGACGATGGTGCTAATGATTCAGTATAATTTGAAGAGGGTGTAGGGGTAGGGGGGTTGGATGAATTTATTGTGGAGGAGATTTGGTTTATTGTTGGGGTATGGAGGTGGTAGGGTTGTTGTTGAAGGGTAATAAAATTATCTAGCTCTGGGGAGATTCGGGGGGTGTCTGGAGAATGAGATGATTGGTCAGAATGGTATGAGGAGTAGGTTGGGGTAACTTGGGAAGCATAAGAGGGTGTGGGAGTGATTGGGTCAGGGTTATTGGATAATATGGGTTGAAAAGGGGGTTGAGAAAATTTAGAAGAGTTATGAAAATTATTGGATGGGGATGGTTCTGAGTCGGCAAATTCATCGGGGGTTTCAATATTCGGGTTATTGAGTTGTGAGATGGAATATAAAACTGAAATGTGTGAATTAGTGTCGGAATTCATGCCTGATGTTACATTACTAGATGGAAAATCGGGTGGCGGAAAAGCAAAAAGTGGTATTATTGGGATTGGAGAGGTAAGATTGGTTGGGTGGGAATTTGATCGGTGTAGTGATCCAAGTTGGCGGCTCATCGTGGGCTAAAAAAATGATTATTTTGAGACTGAAAAGCGGTGGTATGGGGTTGTTCAATAATTTGTTCATAAGTATTATCATCTTGTGACTGGTGTGTCATTATATGTTGGATGGGACTTTGTGATGTGGTGAGTCGAAAATTTGGATTATGTGTGATGGCTAAATTTCGAAAATTTCGTGGGACTAGGGATAGTGGATGGTTATTTGGTAGGGGTGGTAATTGTGGTGCCGTTGGCGTTATGTCTACATTGTTATGTTCTTCGTCGTATGTATTTTGTCGTGTTGCTATTTTTGTGTTATATTCTTTTATTTGTGCGTCTAAAAGAATTTTGTTTATAGATGTAGAAAAGATTCCAAAAAATCCTGCAAAGAGTATGCGTGCTACGCTTGCTTGTCTGTTTACTTGTGTGTGTATAGCACATGTGTTGTAGATTCCTTTTAAAAGTGAGAAAAGAAATCCAATAAAGTTAAACATTGCGTATAAA